CCCCTTGCCCCCAGGGTTCCGGAGACAGGGAGCCAGGCTTGCTGGGGTCTCATCGGTGTCGGTGGTGGAGTTGTGTCTTAGAAATTTAAACTGAAATTTTAGAAATGTTTATTAATTCATCTAGTAATAACAGTAACACCTGTTACATGTTAATGGGAATAATGTTTTTATGAAAGACACCTTTCCATGAAACATTTTTTGACTCTCCAGTCACGTGACTGTAGCAGGCATTTTAAGCTGAGTGAGTTGGGGGAGGACGAGGAAGTGGTTGTGTTGCTGTGTGGGTTTTCTGGGGAGGCGGCCGTGCCTGTCCCCTCCTGAGAAGAGAGTCCCCGACTCCTGTCCCCAAACACCAAAAGCCTCTGTCTGGAGGCTGAATTCTGAGCTCAGGCTCTCACTGGGGACCTCCCATGCCACTTTTTCCATTGTTCTCTTCCCGACTTTTTCCAGTACAACCCTAAACTGGACTCCGGTGAAATGCAGAGAGGACTCAAAGGAATAGTACTTTAAAAACTTTTGTGATGGGACTTCCCTGGCAGTCCAGTGGTTCACTCTGCACTTCCACTGTGGGGGGTACAGGTTCGATCCCTGGTCAGGGAACTAATCCCGCATGCCACGCCCAGCCAAAAAAAAAAAAAAAAAACACAACTTTTTTGAAATTCTTACATAATTATTTTATAGGAAATGGGAGTTCCCTGCTTTTAATTGCCATTCTTCCAATCAGTCCGCATCATCTTAGCTCAGAGCCACAGTGTTCAGGAAGGATGGCTCTGTAGAGAGGACAGTCCACCGCTGACTGGAAGGACGTGGGGTCCGGAGGTGCCGTGAGCTCACTGTTCTCGGGGGAGTGAGGCTTCCCTGAGCCACCCCCTCTTTGGCGCCCACTCCTGCCCTGCGCTACAAGCTGGACGCTTGGTAGGCCCTGAGTGTCTCCCATGGGTGACACCACTGCCCTTGAGCAGCAGCCCACCCTCAGCACCATGGCCAGGTGTTCCCTGTGGGGCCATGTTCCTCAGCATCCCTGGTCAGCCCCACTAGATGCCAGTAGCTCCCCGTCCCCTCCAGTGGTGACAACCAAAATGCCTCTCGACGTTGCCCAGTGTCTCCTGGAGGGCAAAATGGCCCCATGTTGCAACCACTGCTCTAGAAAGATCCCTCCACAGAGCATGTGCATTTGCTTGCAAATCATGCCTGGCACGTGTTCGTGAGAAGAGCAGTGCTGCTGAAACAAAAGGGACATCAAAATTCATGAGGGTCCCAAAGAGCTCTGATCTAGGTGGGCTGTAGCTTTTAGGTGTTTTTCATATTAGAAACTAAAATTGAAAATTTTTAAATACGCATTAATTCATCAAATAACAACACACCCATTACACATTAACATAAATAGAGTCTTCATGAGAAAACTATTTACAAAAGTTCACTGAAAAAATGGCATTGCTCTATATTTTTGCAAATCTCTCGAATGTCCGGCTTAATAAAAGGCAGCTGGCCTCTCAAGTCTGTGCCTGCATTCAGTCTGTTTTGATACCACATCTCTGGTAGCCTGTGAAAAATCAACGTAACAATGGTTATAAAGGCAAAGCATGTCTTGGTGTTATCATAAAAATAGATCCCAGAAGGGGCCTAAGGGACCCCACTTTGAGAACTGTTGTAGAATACTTTTTCCCATCCTCTTTCTTGCTTATCTGAATCCTTTCATCTTTTTAGCTCCAACTCAAGTTCATTTTCTCTAAAATTTAAAGGAAGGTTTTTCTCACCATCTTGGAGTGTATTTTTTCCATATTTTCAGTTTGAATAGCAATCATTTGCTGCACCAATTATTTATTATGTATAGTGCCTTGGACAACTTTTATTTCCCTGTGATTTGCCTCCCTAACTAGACAGAGACCTTGAGGACAGCACTTTAACTTGATTCGTCTTTGCACTAATATGCTGTACATATTAGGGCCTGGTGTCAAGAGGTATTTGTTGGTGCTTTTGAAAGTGCTCAGGAAGGAGAGCTTCAAATCAATCAGCTTTGCTGGGGTTTTTCTGATACTGTAAATTTGAAAGAAAAAAAAAATCTCTCTTGTTAAGAGGCTTATTGCTTTATCACCTCTTTGATCCTCTAAGGGAATTTTAATGCAGAATTTTCATTCAGTGTAATTTGTTTCAAATAAATAGCATTATACCAAAACAGAAGATTATAGTATTAGGTCTTTTCCTAATGTTTCTCATTTTTTTTGTAAAATTTTAAGAAGAGTACAGTTGACCCTTGGATAACTTGAGGGTTAGGGGTGCCAACCGTTTGCACAGTCAAAAATCCCAGTATAACTTAGAGTTGGTCCTTCACATCCATGGTTCCTCCGTATCTGTGGTTCTACATCCAGGGGTTCAACTAACCTCGGACCATGTAGTACTGTACTACGTGTTTACTGAAAAAAAGCCATGTCTCAGTGGACCTGTGCAGTTCAAACCTACGCTGGTTAAGGGTCAACTGTATTTTGTTTTTCGTTTGCTTTTACATACCACCAGAGGTCAGTGGTAAAAAGCACAGTGTCATGAGACCTTATTCTAATCAAAGCATTTCAAAATAGGGTTTCCATGTAAATACAAGGTTTCCATATGATCTTTGGTACTTTATCTTTTTTTTTTAATATTTATTATTTGGCTGCATCGGGTCTTAGTTGTGGCCTGCAGGCTCTCTAGTTGTGGCCCGCGGGTCCAGAGTGCACGGGATTAGTTGCTCCGCAGCATGAGGGATCTCAGTTCCCCGACCAGGGATCAAACCTGCGTCTCCTGCATTGGAAGGTGGATTCTTAAAGACTGGACCAGCAGGGAAGTCCCTGTCTTTCTTATTTTAATTTTATTTTAGGAGTATTTCTCAGCAGAACATAATACATATTTATAAGTTGTGTGTATATGTACACACACAGAAATATATGTGTGTGTGTGTATATGTGTATATATATATATATATATATATATATATATATACACACACACATATACACACATACATAGAGAGAGAGAGAGAGAGAAAGGTTTGTTTTGAGCGTCTCTTGTCCTGTGCAAGCACTGGTAAGATAAAGAGTATGCTATTGTCCTTACTCGTGAATCACTGTTTTCTGTTACTTGTGAAGTGTCACATCTGTTGAGCTTGGACATTCAGGAGACTTGGGAGTAACTTGCCCCCGCCCCCAGTCAGTCACACTTGCAGCCGCTGAATAGATGGGACAAGATGGAGCACATTCTTGTAAAGAGCCACCTGGAGCTTTGAGTGAGGAAATCAGATGTTTGAAAGCATCTAAGCAAACACAGGATCGCCATTAAATTGTGGAGTTGCTGAGTGTGTGTTGGATGTGGCGTGTGTGTAGCAGGTAAAGCTGGCAGATAAGATCAGTCAGCATCCCTGTTCCTCTTAAATAAAAGCTCCGTTACATGATGTGTTATTCTAGAAAGAGTCCTTCAAGCGACTTACGTGAAATCATGTAAAGTGTTCCAGTTCTTGGAAGCAGCTCCGAGCGAATGCAAGCCTTGAGCCTTGCCCCACAGTGGTGGCGAGGTTTCCACCTGTGTGTGGGGAGCTGGGAGAGTCAGTCTGCACCAGCATGTTATGGGGACATTTTCCTAAGTCACAGGGAAAATTCCTCTGACAGATAGCAACTCGAGAAAGTCTTCAGTGTTTCCCTGAATGTCGGGCACCTGCCCAGGTCAGGGAGTGATGCCATCTGGTTTGGCCCAGCATTTTGGTAGCAGCCTTGCGTCTTGCTGTCAGTCTGTAGTGTGGAGCGGAGACTCCCCGGGCCCTGCTTCTCCTTCAGGTTTGAGAACAGCCAGTGCTGGGAAGGGCTGCTTCCCAAACGCCGGCGACAGTGTCATCTTCGTCTTCTCCACCTGGGGGAGTGAGAGAACCGGCCTAGAAATTTAACTCTCCAAGGCGGGGAGGAAGAAAATCTTTGTTAGTTGGAAGACTTTGCGTTTTCCTTTATCATAAGTGTTTTTTAAAGATGAACTTGAGCATGGCTCTAAAGGGGCGTTAGCTCTGACCTAAAGCTGGTTTTGCGCAGTGGGTACCTGGCGGCTCTGAGGTGCTGGACCTGTGCCATCCAAGAGGTTAGTTAGCCTTTAGCCACACGTGGCTGTCTAAGTTAATGAAAAATACATTAGATTGAGAAATTCAGTTCCTTGGTCACACTAGCCACATTTCAAGTGCCCAGTGGCCACACGTGGCCAATGGCTCCCCTGCTGGACAGTAGATAGGGAGCATTTCCCACTTCACAGAAAGTTCTACTGGACATAGCTGCCTTAGACCCTAGCAGTAGCTTCCAAAATAACTCTAATGTGAGCGCACTGAACTTAACTTTGTTAGCTATCACTCTTCTTAATATGAAATACCAAATTTAAGAGAAAAGAAGACATATAAATTGGCAAAAGAGAAGGAAATGGGTAAAATAGGGTAAAGAAACAGGTGAGAAGGGGCTTTGGTGGTGAGGTGGGAAGGAGGCCCTGCTTACCACTTGGTCCAGGACCCGCCTCCGTTCTAAAGACCCACACCGGAAACACAGAGGAGGCCACGCCAGTCCCCACAGGAGTGGACGCAGAGAGGCCCCAGGGAGACAGCCACCTTGTCTGCTTCTCGTCTTTCTTTTTAGACATCTATCTTTACGGGGGCGGGGGGAGGGGGTCAGAGCACACATGGTTTAAAAAAGAAAATAGTGCGAAGTCTGTACTTTCCCATTTCACTTGATCCACTCTGCGCCCTGCATCACAGTGCAAACCTCTCTGGACTGTTCTGGTTTGCTCTGGATCACACCAGAAGCAGTACGCTGTGGTCAGAGGGAGAGGATGGGCTCTGTAGTGGGAGGGAACATTCTCTCTCCCAGAGTCATCTTCCTCCCTTCATCTGGCCTTTCTCCTTCTCCCTCCCTCCCTCCCTTCCTTCCTTTCTTTCTGTCCTCCCTCCCTCCCTCCTGACTTCATTCCCTCCTTCCTTCCTTCCTTCATTCCTTTTTTTTTCCTTTGACACATTGCCTTATTTTATTCAAAAACCAGTCTGCTCATACATGGTCCAAGAACACCGAAATAATAAAGCAAATATAATCACATGTGAAAGATTGGTCTTCAAACATCATAGCCAGTGATGCCACGCATGCCTGTGATCTCGCCAGCACGAAACCACGTCCACACCTCAGTGGCCACCACACCATTCAGCAGAGCTTCCTTAACTGTGAGCTGTTTGAAACTACCGGTTTGAGCACCACTGACAATTTTTTTCAAGCTCTGAATAGCTGTAGGGATCTTGAGCTGGTTGGAGGGACCAGCTCAACCTTGGCATAGTGCCAAAGTATGGCCAGTTGAGGCTTCAAGTAAGTCACAGCAGTGTTGACCCGCACTGGGGCCTTCTCCGCAAGGTTACGGACAAACTGGGCTGTGGTTCTAGGACAGAAAGTCCATCGCCCCAACTGGCCGGCTGAATGGTCATTCTCTTTCACGTTGCAGGCTTCCCTTTAGTAGATTCACTTGCTCATAGTCATCCAGCAGGTACGTTCTGAGGTCCTACTATGTGCTGAGTGCCATCGCAGGTGCTGGGGATTCAGCACGGGACACAGCAGGGCCCCTGCCCTCAAGCAGTTTGCTTTCAGTGAGTGCTGTGTGCACTCATGTTTCCAATTTCTCCACATCCTCCCTAACACTTGTTTTCCTTTTTTTCTTTTTTTTTTAATTATAGCCACCCTAGTGGGTGTGAGGTTTTCATTTGCATGTTGCCTAATGGCTAAAGATCTTGAGCATCTTTTCATGTGCTTATTGGCCATTTGTATATCTTCAGAGAAATGTCTGTTCAAGTTCTTTGCCAGGTTTTTTTTTTCCCGGATGCACTGGGTCTTTGCTCACAGGCTTTCTCTAGTTGTGGCAAGTGGGGGCTACACTTCGTTGCGGTGCACGGGCTTCTCATTGCGGTGGCTTCTCTTGTTGCGGAGCATGGGCTCTAGGCGCGCGGGCTTCAGTAGTTGTGGCCCGCGGGCTCTAGAGCGCAGGCTCAGTAGTTGTGGCGCACGGGCTTAGCTGCTCCGCGGCATGTGGGATCTTCCCAGACCAGGGCTCGAACCCGTGTCCCCTGCATTGGCAGGCGGATTCTTAACCACTGCGCCACCAGGAAAGCCCCCTTTGCCAGTTTTTTTAATGGGTGTTTGTCTTTCTGTTGTTGGAGTTTTTAACGCAGGCATACCTTGTTTTATTACACTTCACTTTGTTGTACTTTGCAGATACTGTTTTTTTTTATAAATTGAAGGTTTGTGACAACCCTGTGCTGTCAGATGATGGTTGGCATTTTTTAGCAATAAAGTATTTTTTAATTAAGGTATGTACATTTTTTTAGACGTAATGCTATTGCGCACTTAATAGACTACAGTATAGTGTAAATATAACTTTTATATGCCCTAGGAAACCAAACACTTCATGTGACTGCTTCATTGTGATGTTTGCTTTATTGCCGTGGTCTGGAGCAGGACCTGGAATTCCTGCAGTATCTCTGATATTGCCTGTACATTCTGGGTACTAGACCCTTATTACAAAACTTGCAGATATTTTCTCCCATTCCATGGATTGTCTTTTCGCTTTCTTAATAAAAAGTGTCTTTTGTGTCTTTTTGATGCACAAAAGTTTTAAATTTTTATTAAGTCCAATTTATGTTTTTTCTTTTGTTGCTTGTGCTTCTGGTGTTATATCTAAGAAACCACTGTCAAATCCAAGGTCATGAAGATTTACCTCTGTATTCTCTTAAGAGTTTTATGGTTTTAGGTCTTAAACTTAGGTCGTGAATATGACTGGTCATTGATCTGTTTTGAGTTAATTTTTGTTTATAATTTTTGTTTATGTGTGAGGTAGGGATTCCCCCCCCCATTTCATTCTTTTGCACGTGGTTATCCAGCTGTCCCAGCGTCATTGGTTGAAGAGACTGTTCTTTTCCCATTGAGTGGTCTTGTCTCTTAATTCTGTGCCATTGATCTATCTGCATGTCTGTCCTTACGCCAGTACCACACTGCTTTGATGGAAAGGCATGCCGCTATGGGGTTTCAGCTACTGGTTAGTGTGATACAGAAAAAGCAGCCGTGGAGGGAGCGGGAGATGCGTTGAGTTCCGACTCCTCGCCTCGTTCGTGCGGAATCGCCACCCGGGTGCCGCAGCCGCAGCACGCACGCACACGCACATACACACGTACGCCCTTCACAGTTGGGCTTATTTCTACTCATTTTCCCTGCCACGTCGGTGACTTGTCCCACCATACGCCATCTGCGGGAGCCCGGGTTCCCAGAGACACCCCCCCGCCCACGTGCCTCCGCTTCCGCGTCTTGACCTCCTGTCTAGACAACCAGAAAAGCCTTCTTGTGGGCCCTTCGGCTTCCACACCTGAGCCTGAGGGCCTCTTAAAAAGAGAAAGCTTTTTGTGTCATCGCCCAGCCCGAACGCTCTCCATGGCTTCCAGCTCCTTCAGATAGAGGGGGGGCTCCTTAACCTGGGCGCCTGGGGCCGCGCCGGCCTCGGCCTTGCCCCCGCCCCGGTTGCACGCGGGCTCTTAGTGCCGCGCGCACGCACGCACGCACACGCACACGTGCGTGCGCGCGCGCGCACACCCACACGTAGAGCTCCTCCCCTTCGGGTCTTCGCACATCCTCAGAGCAGCCCTCAGACCTCGCAGGCGCCTCAGCCTGCTGTCGGGGCCCGGGCAGCCCCGTGTCCCTCAGGGAACCGGCCAGCACGGTGTCACAGCCGGACGGCCCCGCCCCCATCCCCAGCTACGGGTCCCTGTGCGGGGGCGTCCCCTCGGGGTTGGCAGAGGGACGGAGATACAGCCGAGGGGGCCATGAGCGACGCCTGGGCAGCGGGGAGGGCCTCGCCAGGACCTGAGCGTGGAGAGCGGGCCTCCAGGCCCAGCCCCAGCAGGGAGGTGGTGACCGTGGTTGCGGGAGTTTGGAGACAGCCCTTAAGCTGGAGGGGGTGATGGAGCCAGGTTTTCTTTGCTAGACGCTCACTCTGCCCGTCCTGTGCCGAGGAGAGCTCTCAGGAGGGAGGCCAGAGGGAGGGGCGGCAGGTGTTCGGGTAACTGTGTGTTGTCCCGGACGTTGGAAGCCTTACCTCAGCGTGCGCCCTGTGGTGGCTGTCGATACCCCTGGACTCGGTCTGCTCTGTGTATTGGCCAGATCACCCAGTCCTAGTGCAAAAAGCTTCGTTCGGTAAGACGCACAGTCCATTCTCCTGCCTGGGTAGGAGCAGCGGTGGAGTTGTTTTTGCTCATGTTTGTACCCAGCTGTTTGTCACGGTCATTATGTGTATAGCACTGGGTTCGGCATTACAGGAGAACAAAAAGGTAACAGACTTTAATGTGCAGGACGTGTGTGTATGTAACAACATTGGAAACGAGTACGTCTCCTAGGAGGGGCTGTTTGAGACTGTGGAGTAACCGCTAGTAGGGCTTTCTGGGGGCATCTAGAGAAAGCTGTGCAGGATGGTTTTAACTTGGGGAATTCCGTGGAGCAGGAGAGTTATGGACCGTGTTTGTAAGGAAGAAAGACCCATACTTTCATGATTAGGTGGAAAGAACGACAAACATCATGGTCAGAGCCCAAGAAAGCACATTTCGAGGAAGGAACTCTTGGCTGTAGGAGAAAAGGGAACCCAGGCCCTGGCTCACGGTTCAGAGTTCTGTTTGTGCGTGGCAGTATGGCATCTTGGGAAACTCTTTCCAAATATCCTTAAGCACCTTATTAAAAAATAAAGCAGCTCTCACTTCTTAGTAAAAATCCCATTCAAGGATGAGAGCACATAGTTGGGGGCTCAAGTCAGTGTGTCTCTTTGGCGCTCTGTAATCGGAAGGGGCTTGGCAGGGTCGTGTTTCTAGGACGAGTTTGATGGGCTTTTTAAAAGAGCCTGTGTGCACATACAGAGTCCATCCTTGGGCAGACAGGAGGGTGTGGGAGGAGGGAGTGTGTTGCACAAAGAATCTTTGACAGCGGACACTCACCTTTGTGGCTGTCAGCCGTCACTGCTGGGGCCGAGCACAGCCAAGCTCCACAGGGCTCCTGGGCAAGCTCGACCTGTTAGCCTGCACGGATGACAGGGGACCCCCTGGCTCTGCTGCGTGTGCCCTCACACTCATCCACCGCCTCTGCTTGAGTGTTGGCAATGCTCCTCACCTTGCATGTCAACTGCACGTCGTGGGACAGCCTAGTTGTCACGGAGCAGGCTGGAGATGAGCACACAGAATCTGGAGCCTGGAGACGAATGCAAGGAAAGGCTAGAAACAAGAGCATTTCCTCTTGCTAAAGAGGAAAGCGCCTTTCTGTAGCCTTTACTGGTTTTTGAGGGCTGAATGTGAGCAAACAGGGAAAGCTGTCATTTATAAGGTATTCAACTATACTAGTTTCTTGTTGGTGCTGTACAAATGACCACAAACTTAATGGCTTAAAAGAACACAAGCTCATTATCTTAGAGTTCTGGAGGTCAGAAATCTGAAATGGGCTGAAATTGAGGTGTCAGCCTGGCCAGTCCTGTCTGGAGGCTCTAGAGGAGAATCGTTTCCTGGGCTTTTCCAGCTTCTAGAGGCCACCTGCACTCCTTGGCTCAGGGCCCCTTCCTCTGTCATCAAAGCCAGCAGCGTAGCATCTTCCGTCCTCTGACCTCCACTTCGTGGCCTCCTTGCCTCCTCTTGTCTCACAAAGACCTGTGTGATTACGTGGGGCCCTTCCTGATGACCCAGGATCATCTACCATCCCAGGATCCTTAACCTCATCACACCTGCCGAGTCCCTTTTGCCAAGTAAGGAAACATATTCATAGGATCCAGGAATTAGGATGTGAACATCTTTGGAGGGTCACTATCATCAACCTATAAGTAAGAAGTTTGAAAGAAGATACGGGAAATTAGGTATATCTGTGAAGTCTCTTGAAATGTAGCATTGGTAGGGGTGGGATGTAGCCTCAAACTCTAGCAACTATAAGGGGTTGAGTTGTTTACAGTAGCGTGAAGGAGACTATCCCAGAGCAAAACTTGCATCTTTTAAAATTTTTATTTATTTATTTTATTTATTTATTTATGGCTGCGTTGGGTCTTCGTTGCTGCGTGCGAGCCTTCTTTAGTTGAGGCGAGTGGGGGCTGCTCTTCGTTGCAGTGCTCGGGCTTCTCATCGCAGTGGCTTCTCTTGTTGCGGACCACGGGCTCTAGGCGCGCGGGCTTTCAGTGGTTGTGGCACGTGGGCTCCGTAGTCGTGGCTCGTGGGCTTAGTTGCTCTGCGGCATGTGGGATCTTCCTGGACCAGGGCTCGAATCCGTGTACCCTGCGTCGGCAGGCGGATTCTTAACCCCTGTGCCACCAGGGAAGTCCAAAACTTGCATTTTTATGTGTATTTTTTGCCTATGCTAATTGTGCTATAAAATACAACCATTTGACGTACTCATTTGTTTTTGTTTTCATTTTGGAAACAGATTCCCAGCAGGAAAAACAGCCTTGTTGCTGCCCCGTCTGCAGTATCTAGTAAAATAAAAGTGCCAGCCCCTCAACCCGTAGTGAAGAAAGATAAACGGCAAAATTCTTCCAGGTTTAGCGCCAGCAATAATAGAGAACTTCAAAAACTACCATCTTTGAAAGGTAATTTTTATTATTCATCTTTCAGAAGTTAAAAGTTTCCCCATTTAGGGGGAAAGAGTAACCTTTTGATAGTT